AATGTGTCCATATCTGTCTGAAGCCTGGACAACTAATTGACAAGATCTGTCCCTATTTTTAAAACATTTCCATGTCACAAAGTCTCCTTGGCATTATTAAGTCTTAGCTGTGGAAGGCAAATCAGTTGGATTACTTTAATGAGCCATCTACAACCTCAGAACAAGAGAACCTTCTCATATAACATGGTAGTCTCTCTCCTTGCTGCTTTCCATACTTTGATAGTTCAGACCAGGTATTCTTACCCTGTCAGCATGCAAATTCCTTACTAGCCAGTCACRTAGGAACCATAGTAAAAATTGTAATGCTTTATATTTTTTCCTCATCCACCACCATCACTTACCTCTGCCATCCCTCTTTACCCATGGGAAGCTTTTTGCCTCTTGGTAATGTGGTTACCTACACCATGGRAGGGAGTTGGAATGATAGCAATTCAAAAATATACTGCTAGGTCACAAACAGAGATATAATTGGTCTTGAGTGCACACATGGATATTTGGATATTAAAAGCTCACTTCACAGTAATTATCCTAACTATAACTTTAATAGATTTTGGTAATGGACTGTAGGAGTAATYAGGGCAGACAGACCCTAAGTATTTCATAATTTCTTAACCCTTTATTCCTGTGTGCCACCTGAAAGGGAAAAGTCTATATGCCCAACTCATCATCTACTCATGAAATTTCCAACATGAAACTTTCCAATACCTCTAGTTTTATTTCCCATCCCTATAAAAACTTTTAATTTTAAAACAATTTTAATTTTGTTCCAGGGTCCTTGCAAACACTGCATACCTATGACCTGGTGTTATCTGATCCCTGTTCTTTTCAAGGGATAGCACTGTTAAAACAAGTGATGTGCTTTAACTTTAGCAGCTCACAAACTGCATTTACTGGTAACACACTTCTATGTAATATCTCCTTATTATGCCCAAATTTCTTCAGAGTAGATTTTCTTAGATGCCTTGACAACATAAGAAGGAATTTTCTTGACTAAACTAACCTTATCAGTAGCCATGAATTCAAACCCCACTTTAAACGGTACCACTAAAATTTCCTCATATGAAAGAAAAAGTTTTGTCACAAATTCAGTGTGTGTGGCCAAGTCCAGTTTTTCAAAGTTACTAATGATGCATCCCTGGTTCTCTCCTGCATACGAAGTTAGTGCAATCAGAGGTATCACAGTCACATATTCCTGAGATCAAAGTATACTGTTCTACTGATCTCTGAACTCTGATGGGGTAGGATCAGACTTGAGATTAAAATATCTATAATGGTGACAYTTGTTATACTCCTTCCATTGCATTCTTCTGCGTCTTCCTTTGATTCTAATTAATTCCCTACCAAATTACCAATGATGTTTCTATTTGTATTGTTTCTCTTTTCTACCAATCTTGTGTTGTGGCAACAAGTGACAGAAATCTAATGGTTGCCAACTACTTAAGTGTGCTAAATTCATCATCCACTCCAACTTAACAGTTCAGTTAGCTTATTCCACTGGTTATAGCCACATACTAGAAAATACCCTAGGACAGTGGACTACACATACCTTCCCTATTAGAAACTCTGTAGTAATCAGAAATGTTTTAAAAGATTTCTTTTAATCATTCCCATTCTATCCAGTATTCTGTGTCTAGAAACTGCATTCCTATAAGATTTTTTTCATTTTTTGTTGTTGTTCTGAGTTTTATACATGGAATCAAAACAAATGTGCATCCTCCTGTTATTACTTTGCTTTAAATCTTATTCCCACAAATATAGTGTAGTGTCTACAAGATTGTGTAGTTACCCAAAATTCCCTTTGAACAATTATTAACTAACTGAATGTAAGTTAATAATTGTTAAATGTGGTGAATGTCTGTTTTTTAACTAAGCGTGCAGCAGACTCCACTCATGTCTTCTAGGGTCCAGGATAGAGTGACATCATGAGAACTATAAACCTACCTGAATCAGAGTCATACATTAAAGACAATTACCCATTAATTAAAGAAAAAAAAAACCTTCAAAATTTCAAGATGTTTTACCATATGCTATATTTAAGTCATGTACCTTTTTCTATTGTTTAGATATCAGCCTGAATGTTGAAGTATTAATTAAACATACCTAGCACTGTATTTGTTCTCTTAAATACAGGTAAAACGTATAATTTAACTCRGAGACCTAGTGTGATGATTTCTATTCAAGACAAACTATACATTTATGTGTGTACAGACTTGAAGAGTGTGACCATGCTTCTAGTTATTATCTTAATACATGCTTTCCAGTGTAAACAAAATTTAACCACGTATGTGAAAGAACACAATAGATAAACTCAGTTCTGTGAAAGAGGTCCTACAATGAAAAGTGGACACACTGAATTCTGGATCTSTCCAGTATACACTAAAACATAATGTCAAGCAGGTTTAGTCAGCATCATAGGCTTCTAACAATTTCTTCTTAGCATCTACTTGACTTTCTAGTAATGAGTGACAAATATTTGACTAAAAYATGAGAAGCTACTTTTATACTATGCATGTGGACTCCAAGGGTAGTCCACAGTTCTCTTCCTTATGTTGTAAATTGTCACATGATGAAAGATAGAAAAAAAGCCTGTGCTGCATGCTATGAAACAAAGCCAACTTGGAGGAATCCAAGGTCCATGTGTGTATTTGGGAGGCAAGGGGGAGGACACAACACACAAACACAGGTTTTATTTCCCCTATATTGGAAAAACCCAAAAGATAAAGCATAAAGAAATTAGACCTTTCAGCACTGAGAAAGCATCAATTCTTACAGCTGTTGCTGACTGGTACAATATCCTCCCATTGACTACTTGCCAAAGGAGACTAAGTAATCAAATTGGGGGTTAAGGGGAAAGGATCAATTCACACAGAACAAGTCACATACAGTAAAATAAATGTATAACCTTTACTATGTTCTAAGTTATATGGGAAGGCACAAACTACAGAAGACAAGGAAAGAAAGCTTTCCTATTTTTAATAACACTGAKGCACAGACTCAGAATCCAGATAAGGTACCTGGGGCTATAAACAGTTATTAAAAGAATCTCCATTCCATGTCACAGATAATTAACTCCTTAATGCAACATCCATCTTGATGGAATTTGAGTAGTGTATGCTGATATGCATAATGATCATACTCCAAGAAAAATATATTTAATATATTCTAAGGGTTTTGTGGAAGTTGCTGCAAAACAAAGAATTTGAAGTAAATAATTATAAAATACAAAAATAAAAAACCAGGTTTTTTTTCCTCCAAATTCCTGGTTTAATAAGGACTTGTTTATTTTGAGAAAAAAGGTCC